CGGCCAAATCAGCTAACCTATTTCCTTGCGTAACTGGATCTTCTCCCCTCTGGTGTCTCTTATAATGCATTATAGCAACCCGATCCGGTTCCCTAACCACCTCCAGAAGGGCCACAATATCAGCTGCATTCTTAACGCCCTTTCCAGCCGACGTAAGGAGTCCCCGCTCCTTGTACAAGGCTCCATGGGCATGGAGCGTAGTAAAGGCGTACTTTGAGTCCGTGTAGACATTGACCCGTTTTCCCTTTGCCAACTGCAGTGCCCTGGTGAGGGCTATCAACTCAGCCCGTTGAGCGGAGGTTCCCGGAGGGAGCGACTCTGCTTCCAGAATCCCTCCCCCCCTGTACCACCGCATATCCTGCACGCCTCTCTCCGTTCTCCATGAAGCTACTGCCATCCGTGAACAGGGTCATGTCTGCCTTGGACATTGGTACGTCCTTTAAGTCAGGTCGGCTGGAATATACCTGTTCCATCACTTGAATGCACTGGTGGACTGTTTCCTCCCCCGGGGCAGGCAACAAGGTAGCCGGATTCAGGGTGGTGTAAGTTTCTAGGGTTACCATCAGGTTGTCACATAACACCCCCTCATATTTAGTCACTCTCTCGTTTGTGAGCCAGCGTGGTCCCTTGGTGTCTAACAGTGCCTTCACATGGTGTGGTACCTTAATGGCCAGTGGCTGTCCTAAGGTCAATTTACTTGCTTCTTTTATTAAATCTACTGCTGCTGTCACAGCCCGCAGGCATGGTGGCATTTCCTGCGCTACTGTGTCTAGTTGCCTTGACAAGTATGCCACTGGTCTCTGCCATGACCCTAAAACCTGGGTAAGTCCACCCACTGCTACTCCTTCTCGCTCCGATACGAACAGAATGAAGGGTTTCTCCATATCAGGTAGGCCCAGGGCTGGTGATGACATCATCTCTGTCTCTTTTTAAAACACAGTTGTAAACACTTATGTCTTTTGCTTGTCCTATCCAGCAGGTGGTGCTTTGGATAGGCTCTTGTATTTTGGACTCCCATAATCAGGAGCTCAAGAGTTCGAAATCCTCTCGACCATTCTCCAATCCTTTTAAACAATTCTCCACGGTTTTCTTTCCATGATTTATCTC